ATTCACATTATCAAGGAACAATAAAAGTAATGCATCAAAGGAAGGCATATAAAGGGTCTAGCCCACACCTCACTCTCACATCCCACAACAAAGCAACACCTGACGCGCGATTCGAAAGAAAGGGAACACTGCAACAGGCCCGCTGGCCCAACTAGACAGGTCCTTCACACAACCCACCAACAAACTATCCTACCCAAGAATTAAGAATTTTAAAATTTATTATTTGTCCAATGTATTATTAAGTTCTTCCCAAATTCTATTAATTATGAATGAATCTAATTTATATAAACCAAAGGAAATATTCATATTATTGTCAAAACTGCTTTTTATGAAACAAGATTCAATTATATTCCTGTCGACCATGGACTTGCTTGATGCTACTTTCTCAACTTTTTGAAAATCAATTGGATGGTTAAAATCTCTCACATGAATAAATAGAGCATTTGAATCTTGTCCAGTTCTAATGCTATATTTATGTTGTTTTAATCTTAGTTCGAGATTTTTACCAGTTTGACCGTAATAAACTTTATCGCAAATTTTACAAGGAATCTTAGACACATCCATCAGCATTTTGGGGGGAATTCTTTTATCAAAAGTTTTTTACTGTATCAAGGTTTTTAAATACAAAGTTGTATCAAAGGTTTTTAAATTCAATCAAAGTTGTATTTAAAAATCTTGATACAGTAAGCTGTATAGCCCTTGTGGCTTAGCGCTTCTTTTTGATTATAATAATAATTGATACAGTAAAAAAACTTTTGATAAAGAATTCCCCCCAAAATGCTGATGGATGTGTCTATAAGATTCCTTGTAAAATTTGTGATAAAGTTTATTACGGTCAAACTGGTAAAAATCTCGAACTAAGATTAAAACAACATAAATATAGCATTAGAACTGGACAAGATTCCAATGCTCTATTTATTCATGTGAGAGATTTTAACCATCCAATTGATTTTCAAAAAGTTGAGAAAGTAGCATCAAGCAACTCCATGGTCGACAGGAATATAATTGAATCTTGTTTCATAAAAAGCAGTTTTGACAATAATATGAATATTTCCTTTGGTTTATATAAATTAGATCCATTTATAATTAATAGAATTTGGGAAGAATTTAATAGTACATTGGACAAATAATATATTTTAAAATTCTTAATTCTTGGGTAGAATAGTTTGTTGGTGGGTTGTGTGAAGGACCTGTCTAGTTGGGCCAGTGGGCCTGTTGCAGTGTTCCCTTTCTTACGAATCGCGCGTCAGGTGTTGCTTTGTTGTGGGATGTGATAGTGAGGTGTGGGCTAGACCCTTTATATGCCTTCCTTTGATGCATTACTTTCATTGTTCCTTGATAATGTGAATAGTCACGAAAGCGCCTGGAATTTCTATATTCTTTCACAGTGGTTGTTTTGCATATATATTATATATATATATATATATATATATATATATATATATATATATATATATATATATTATATATATATCGTGGGAAGCTCTAAACCTGTAGGGGTTATACAGTTCCTTGGGAATGAAAGGGGCAATAAGTTTATAACAAAGGAAGGAAGAGGGAATGTGTATCCATGAGAAAGTTCTGTGTTTCCTAAATTTCTGGGACTCCCTGAAGTTGGTGGCTCCACCTCCTTTACTGCTGTATTGGCGATAAGTGTCAGCCAATGTCAACGCACATGTAGTCCCGCACAAACCGCTTTTCACCTGTCCTACGTTCTAAAGCTCTTGGACGCTTTTAGCCGCCATCGGATCTGCATACCAGGGGCGACTTTTATTACTGGACTTTCAGTTGTTGCCATTCTTTTGTTGATGTTGGTCTTTTCATGGCTTGTGATCTTTCGCGGTTATCTATGACAAAAATGATAGGAGAATTGGTATGCCAGTGCACTCTCAAGGATACTCCTGATGCGAATGTACGGAGGGTCAAGGTGTGTTCTTAGAGTAATTAGGGACAGCCAATAGAAATCCTATGCATGGGCTCTCCTTGCTAGAAGGAAAGCTCGTCTTTCCCCAACACACACTCGAACAATGATTAGTAAAGTTATATTTTCCACTATGGAGTTGTCCCAGTGCTACTGTTTGTAGTTATTAATAGGGTTTAGTCTGAAGAACCTTTTAGTGTCCCTCTACCTAGTTCTTGCAGTTCATGGAAATATTGGTCGGGAGTCCCCACATTGTGATTGAGGAAGTCACTGAGTCGTTGCTACTACGTTGGACGCCACATGTGAAGAAAGGAATGCAAAGAGTGCTAAGAATTTCTTTCTCGGTAAAGTTTTGTTGAGGACATAACCTACACACAATTACAAAATATGTGAATCTTTTAATTGTGGAGCTCCTTAAGCTGTAAAGATATATACTGAGAACTTACTTTAATTCTTATTTTAGAAATATAAATATACTTGACTGCTGATGTGCAGAGGACTCTCGTCCAGTAGATGGTGACCAAATTTTGCTTTCATGGAAAGTTCCTTGATGCTGGTGAGGGGCGCTTGATCCAAGGA